GTGCGTGTCGTAAAGCCAGAATCAATCCCCCACCATTCTTGGCTAGGAAAGGCGTTGATATATATATATACATACTACAGTACATACTACATTATTCATAAACCAGTTGACGCCATGCAAACCTGGCATATTGATAGATGTTGAATCTCCAGTCTCCAATTAATTTATCCACCTCAATTCCGTGTTGCCTTGCAGGTTGTTCTTTGGCCCAAATCATGCACATTCAATGCACGAATGTATTACTGTAGATCGATTAGAAAGCCTTGGGTCTTGGTTCAGGCATGCCATATTGGTTCTAGGAACCACATCAGGGAAACCCAAAGGACCGTTCCTGGTGTTCAGATTCCATTGAATCTGCTTGGGATGGGCGGTAAGCAGACCTCTGTGGGTGTTGAGGTGGAGATCCGCCGCGTTTCTGGTGACCTGCGCTTGTTCACTTCCGACTCATGAACTACTCCAGGAAGTCACTGGCAAGAGGGGTATACAACAAAAGACCCCAAAGTAGAGAAGTCCTATAGAAAACGTCTTGGTCACCGTGGTTAGTCCGTCTTGGTCACCATGGTTCACTATAAAGCTGGGGGCACCAGGAGACCAAAAGGAACTTCCAATGTTCGGCCGATTTCGGCAGTGAGGCCCGGAGCGCCCCCACCACCGGCCTTCGTCCCGGCGGGGAAGGGAGGGATGAATGGGGTGGTTTGGGGTGAAATGCCTCTATATAGATGAAGCCTAAACATTATGGATGGGTTTTGCTCACTTTCCATATTATATGGCATTATATATGGCTATATATATATCGATATATCTATATATTACGTTCATGGATATAACTTACAACTATGCAAACTGTTCATCTATGAAGCCAGCCGAAAGGCAGACATTTGACGAACTTTGCATCTATAGTTGGAAGGTCTAGGTATTTGGTGATCATGGGAACCAAATCGGAGATCGACCTGATGGATGGAACATGGTGATTCCGGACTTCGGAGAGAACCGCCTTCCTTTTGAACATAGCTAACGACCAAATGATTGTCACCTCGCACGCCGCTGGCCGAATCCGTTCTTTCCGCGTGCCGAAAGAAGCCAGCCGTGCCACCCCAACTGCATGTACCTTGGTTTCAGAGCCTGAAACCACTGAGGGGGACATTCTCAAGCGAAAAAGCGAGGCTCTCAACTCATGGAGTCCGATCGAAAAAAAACCATGAAACACCCATCGCCAGGCCGATCGGAGATCCACCCCGTTCTCGGATTCGAAGAAAATCGTCCAGACCTGGGATCTTCCAACATCTTCCTGCATGTTCTTGACTCGTCATTCATCTTCAATCAAATCTTAGCTAAGAAATCGAACTCGTTGTCGAAGATGTTGGCCGATTGCAGCCCAGTGGTGTCTTCCTTCTTCCTCCTCCTTCTCGTTTTTTCGTTCCACCGAGCCGGAACTACGCGCCCTGTCGTTTCGCCGAACCCTCCGTTCCGCCGCTGGGATCCCCGCCCCGCTGGGTGCCTTCAGGGTGGTCCCCCACCGCCGGAGACGGACACCGACATGCCGGAGAAGGTGGCGGGGATCGAGGCCAGGCGTGGCGGTCGAAGGTGGCGGGCGTGGAGACCACTTATTCTTGGGCCGAACTCTCCCAACTCCACCACGGGCTCGCGTCCAAACTGCCTGACACCGACAGGTGTTGGGCGATGAGCTGTGGTTCTCACACGTGCCCACTCGCCGGTCCTTGCGGGAACGAGCGCCTTGGCACCGGAGGGACGGACGAGCGAGGAGCGAAGCATGGAAGGGACGTACCTCACGGCAGCGCCTGACATGAGTGCATGAATCAAGTTGCTTTACATGAGGGGTGACTAGAGTCAACTTGTTGGGGGACACCTCCACTGCGATACCATGCCTTGTAGCGTTTCACACGCAACCGACTGGCTGGTCAAAACCCGGCATATGAGAGAGAGAGAGAGAGGGAGGGTCATTGAAAATGGACAGGTGCCCACGACGTTTTTTCACCAAAAATCCCGATTCTTCCAGCACCCAGCGCCCATTTCTGGCGGTGATTCGGAAGGAACATGATGGAACATGCATCATGAGAGGGGCCCTATCTTCACTGTGCTACTAGAGTAGCTGAGTAGCTCTTTCTCAGACCTGGGCGGCGGCATCGTCATGTCGAGCCTGGCGGCGGCCGAGGTCATCGCGGCGCACGCGGCGCAGAAGATCTTGGTGGCGAGCCCCGCCACCGAGATCAAGCGCCTCGGAACAAGAGGACGCTACAGTAACAAATGGAGCAAGGACGCTACTAGTAGCTCCTGGCCTCACTACTAGGAACAAGAAACTACTAGGGGCTCCGGGCCTTACTACTAGGAACAAGAAACTACTAGGGGCTCCTGGCCTCACCACTAGGAACAAGAAACTACTAGGGGCTCCTGGCCTTACTACTAGGAACAAGAAACTACTAGGGGCTCCTTGCCTTACTACTAGGAACAAGAAACTACTAGGGGCTCCTGGCCTTACTACTAGGAACAAGAAACTACTATCAAACACAATGTGTTTTTTTGGTCGATGCTTCTCCCGATGGTTCCACCGGTGGGATGCCGCGCAAGGGGTGGTGACTTGGGGAGGCGAAACGGGGCTCAAGAGACACGACCTGTTTGGGACTGCAATAGGACTGCCGATCAGTTGGGGTGGTTTGGGGGGTCAATGGGGCGGCATATATGGTATACATGGAGTGTCTGGGCACGTAATATCAATGTAATGATGAACCGTTATGGAGTTGTACTGTAGATATGTGTAAAGGATAGATATGAAAGAACGTGACTGGGAATTTTTTGCCCCATTGTTGAGGCATCCTGGGGCTGGGGAGTAAGAATGTGCTGGGTCGTTCTGGTACATGACATATCGCTGAGTATTCCAGTGTGTTTGGTCCTCCAAACGCAGAACATTCAAGCCAAGGTGTTGCCCTAGAGGTCCAAAGCTGCAGCTATATATATATATATTTGCACCACTGAAGTCAAGCGGTTCCACATATCTATATAACTTGCGTTATGGTGTTTGCTGAAGCTCACGGCTGGCCATGTTTGGCAACCAGCCATTTAACAGCTTGAATGTGCATTGTGTGGATGCCAGTTGAAGTATGACGCTGAGCTTGATAAGCTGCAAGTCTCCATGGCTCTCCCTTTGGAGGGGAAAGAGTTGCCGTTGATTGGTTGTGTTTTGCGCCCCAATATGCCGCCATTGCACTCACTGTTTTGTTTTCTCCTCTAACAATCGGTAGGCAATGATCAATAATTGTCACGATTTTAGAGAAAGGCCTCTATTAATTAACCACATCTAACTACCATCATCCACTGTTACAGGGAATGGGATATATACCCAATGTTCAGACTGGCCGTCTATATCGTTGCCAGATCTGCCGAGGGCAGTACACCTCAGGGGGAGGCAGTTGAGCGCCTCAAGTTACTTTTCGGGTCTCCTAGAGACAATTTTTCAAATTAGTCTTGGACTTCTGGGGGGGGTGGTTCATCATATATAGAAGGAAGCCACCTATATAAGATCCAGCTGGGAGGGGAATAAGGATGGAACAAGGTTGGGCGCCGCTCCTGAGGCGAATTTGTCCGGGTCCGGGGCGAATTCTGGGCGTCCGGACGCCCGGAATCATGCGCTGACTCTGCGTCGCAGGGGTGGAGCGTTGGGACGTCGGGGCTTCTGGGGTGTTAAATGACCGGTGCACCGTACCACACACGTGACCTCGTGAACTCCAGGTGAGCCTCGGTACGATGGTGCGTCCGCAAGAATGAGACCGGAGCCTCCGTTCCACCCGGTGTGTTTTTTGGTTTCTCTCAGGGTCACACGCAACCCTCAACACCCAAAATCATCCAAAGCCTCTGACCAGTTCCTCCTCCATGGGCTCTCTCTTTTTGGGACGTCACTCGTTAAACCTGTTTGCGCCAACCTTAGCCCCAAACAGCTGGAGGCTGGAGCCGTTCTACGGCTTGGGGGCTCGCTGTTAGGCGGCTACGGGGAGGCGAGCAGTTAGACGCCACGACCACGTGGACCGGGCCATGGCATCGCGTAGCGTTCCTTTTTTCGGCAGTAGCGTACCGGGCGTAGCGTACCGGGCGTATGTATATGTGGCATGAAGTGGGAGAATTCGCACCTTTTTAGGGATTGAATCATTGTGTTTTTGGTTTGTTGTTGGTGTTTTCTGTTGCAACAATTTAATTGGAGTTTACTTTTGGTCCAGCTAAGGCTGCCGCAGTTGCCACACTGAGGATTCGTGCCCCACAACGGTTCATCCGGGTTTGGGCTGAACTTGAACATGGCGAGTGACCTCACTCTATCGACAGGTCCTGTCAAGATTCCCGAGTTTCCCAGCTCTTTTGAACATATCCGCCAGTTCACACCTGATGCCAAAAGCCAATGGTGTGGTGGAGTATTGCTGCATATTGCACTACAAGAGGTAGAAGTCTCCACTGTCGCTGCCGTTTTCTGCAGGACTGTAGCATGTGGCATGAAGATGGCTGTGGAAGCTGTTTCAACGTCTCAAACATGACAAAGACATACAAAGACATTTTCTCAGAAGATGAAACTGAGACATGCCCCGCTGGAGATGCCCCGAAGATGGCTACCCAAGAATCACAGGCTTCCCTGACCTCAGGCAAAAGATTGGTAAAAGACCAGCCGCGCATATGAAGGTGCAACTTGAGCCCTTCCCGCAGCCGCAAAATTAACTGCAAATGAATGAGCAATAAGCAGAATCATACACCATCATAGACCTAAACCATCCTAATACTATATTAAGGGGGCACTTAAATACCTTGGATGTAGCATGCACACGTGGTTCTGGAATGATGAATTCACATAAAATCCTTACTGGACCAGACCATGTCTTTGAAAAAGTAAATACCAAGAACTTCTAAAACTTGGACCTAATCAAACACCATCCCTCCTCCAGTTCGCAGGCCCTTTTTTTCTGTCAATCACGCCCCTCTGACCTTTCATTGACCACACAGTCGCAATGTCAACGCGACAGTCCACTCGCAGCGTGCTGCGGGGGATTTGCTGCCTGGGCCTTTGGTCCCTGAGTGGTCTGACTCACCCGGCCGCAGTGCCGAGGCGGCTCGCGGTTTGGATCGGACCCGGATGGCACTCTGGATATGTGTTTGGTCGATGACAGAAAGACCCTTTCTGAATGTGTGAAAAGGATCCGCCTGATTTGGAATGGGATGGCAAATGGAGTCTCGCTCAGTTGCATCGGCCGCATTTAAGACTTCCTTACAAAAGGCGTTGGAGGCATTCATGTGTTGGGTGAGGCTGTATCTTCTTCTTGCCAAGGGGACTATGTTTGTACGGATCATCCATGAGCCCACCATCCAGATAGAGGTCATGCATGTGGCATGCCACAGCCCCCTCAACTTTCACATAGACTCAAGTTGCAGGCTCATAGGATTGTTTCACGGCCATGTTTCAAGGAGGAATTGATGGAACCCAAGGCTCCAAGTTAGGATTGATTCATGTGCAAGGCGGGCTTTTTTAAAGGGTGTTTCCTGGATATCATTGGATGGTTTACTCGCCAAACTACCCCCACCTTGACAATCTTGGAGGAGTTTGAGACTCGTCATAAGCTGAGGGTTATAACCCCAAATCTTGGTATGATCTCTTGGTGCTCTTGGATCATAAGCTGGTTCACACCTTCTGCTCCACACGACCCGCGCGATCCAGGCGTTGGACCGTCCTCACCGCTCCCGCCGTCTTGACGCAGACGAGCGCCCGTGCCGCGCGAGCAGAGCCGCGCGAGCCGCGGAGCTATGAGGAAGTCATCGCGGAGTCCGGTTTGGAAGACTGGTCGGCACCTGGGAGAAGGGGAGGAGGTTGTTGTGTTTTTGTTTTTCCGTTGAGCTGAGGTGCCCAAGTGCAATCCACAAAGGTTTTTGGTGTGTGTTTCTTGTGATTCCTTCCAGCAAGAAAACCTAAAGCCTCAAGCGACTGGCCGAACAATTTAGAAGAGCTCACTCATATGCATGATAGCAGAATAGCAGAAGGGAACGTTTAAAAATTGCTAGCTAGCGTAATGAGAATGGGAAGAGATGAGATTGATTGATGATTCCAAAAAGGACCCCAGAATCAAAACGACAGTTTGGACGTGTCCTTGGCTATATGACTCTAGTGGTTTAGCAGGCAGCAGCTGCAACACAACTAGATGAAATCAACCCCCGGCCCTGATTAGATGCACTCGGGGGCAGTTACAGATAAGGACAGCGCGGGAAAGCAACAAACCAGGACATGGTGGAAAGGCTCGGTTTAGTTCGAAACGAACGAACAGAGGTCTGAAGGGAAGCAAAGGAAATGGAACACAAGATGCACAAGCAACGGACAGGGGAGAAAGGTCAAACAGCAACAAGCCAAAGGATGGAAGGAAACCTGATTTAGCTATATTGACTACACAGGATTTCAAGAGCGAACATTGTTTCTTCAGGAGGAAATGCTGGTTGGAGATACTTCCGCTGTTGCCTACCAACTCTTGTAAGAAATGGCTCGGCTTGATGAGGATGCTGTATCAATTTCCTCATCGATCCTTTTTTTGAAGACCGCCAAGTAGTTTAATTACATGACAGAATGCAACAAGTGTTGTGTGCTGTGTGTCTATAGTACATCTGTGCAAATTTATGATTTCAAAAGCAAAAGATCCATGGCCTTTATATAATCACACACATTGCAACTGGGCTCTTCCCACCCAACAAAAAAACAGAAGAGCTAGATTCCCCCTTTCAACAGGTGACTCTGACACCCAGAGCTGCCCGCGACATGGAGCCCTTCACGGAACGCTGGCATTGCCCGCTCCGCCCGCAGACCGGTGAGACCGAGGTGAAAGACTATGAGGCGATGCGCGACGATGTGCCACGCACCTCCAAGTTCGAAAAGGCCATTCAGCGACGCCTCCAGAAGCAGCCGCAGGCGCCGGTTCCCCGCAGACGCCGACGCCGAACCGTTCGGGTGCCCGGGAGACGGGACCGGGAGACGGGACGGTTCGTCAACCTGCAAGAACCGAGCGCCTTCCGCGCACAGGATGCGCCTTACCTGTGGAGCATGTTTGTATTACTTATATTTTTTGAGCACTTGGACTGCCGATCACTAAAACCATTCGCAGATGTCAAAGCCCGTTTGGGGACGTCTGACCCGCATTACATAGGCCATCCACGTCCATGTGAGTTCCAAGGGGAGTACCATCCATGTTTAAGGGTCTCGGACAGCGCAGCACCAGTGACAGTTGGATCACGAGGACTGACTCATGCACCTCCGCTGGTAACTCATCCCCCACCGTCAAACTGCGGGGGGCTGAAGAACCGCCATGAACTGGCGGCCAGCATGGGTGGGATGAAGCACATGGACGGACCATGTGGTTTTTTGAAAAAGTTGAAAGGGGTATCCAGCCAGGAGATCCCTAGGTAGGCTAAGTCCAAGGCTGGACACCCAGACAGGGGTGCTGGAGGCCGTGGAAGGACCTGCCTTTTTCTTTTCAACAAGACCGCCTGGGTAGGCCACAGTCTTGGACATCGGCACTGGGCCTTTTGCCCTGCTGGCGGTTCTGGCCGCCAAGGCAGGGGCCAAGAAGGTCTATGCTATCGAAAAGACGCCTGGGCGGGTTGGGTGGGATCGGGTTTTATGCGGGATGGAGATCGCACCTGGGAAAGAATATAGCTTCCTTCAGACACAAGTGGTTTTCAGGTTCCATGATTCCATGTGGGGTCTTTCTTTCCGAGGCGCGTGCAATGTTTATTCAATCCCTTCTCGGGATCTCTTGATATGGAAGCCTTCCTATAGGTTCATGATTGCCATCCCGGATGTTAGCTGGCGATGCTTAAGAAGCTTTCGCCCTTTTTCCAGGGATGTTGGCAGCAGGGCTATCACCGAATGAATGACAACGTGGTGATATGTTAGTTGGCAGAAGAATGTGCCCTCAAGGGGCCACCAACATTCTAGCATAGATGTCAAGAACATTCCACTATTTTGGTACAAAGTTGCCACAGAGGAAGAACATTCCAATGCCCTCCACTTCCAAAACGATCTTGAAAATGCCAGATAGAATACCGTGCTCCATCTCGAAGAATCGATACGGTTGGACGATTTGCTCGACAGTGATCTTGGAAAATAAATATGATCTAATGTGCATGTAGCATGGCCTGGGTCAACCCAAGTGGAATCCACTAGATTGATTCAACAAAAACCTGTGAATTTGTAAATCTTTGCAAGTTTCAGAACCTTTGAATCCAAAGCAAGCTCAAGATCTAACGATAGGTTGGACAGATTTGTGGTTGGAATTGCAGAAGTGTGTGATGCCTTGTGTTGCGGCCGCCCGTCATAAATCATGCATAGAATTTTATCGTGCTTGCTTGATCTTGCTTGTAGTGTAGGGGGTCAGACCAACCGAATTCGCCACGGTTAGTAACTATATATATATATACACAGACCGTTAACTACGCCAAACATAGAGGGTGGGGGTTTTGCTTTGGTTGGTCGTTATGATTTCTTTGGTGAGACCCAGTCGCACCGTTCCTGTTTCCTTTTCTTTTTCAGGCCGTGAGGCCGTTTCAGTGGATTCAATGCTGACTGCCTCACGTGGAGTGCTAACAGCTCAGGTGCAAAACACGAAGAGTTCCCTTGCCCCATGTGCATCTCAAGTCCTTCACTTCACTTCAATCAGCCCTGCGACCATGGAGGGATCGACGGTCAGATCCGAGGAATCCGGAAGCCGCTGCTTTGGCCAAAGAGACGGTGGAACGTGATGGTTGGAAGGACTCGGCAGACGGTGGGAAGGTGACCTCCTGCACCCTGCTGACCCTGCTGCTTTGCAGCAACTACCCTCCAAAAGCTATGTGATCTATGTGTCCGGACATGGCGTTGGAAGAGCTCTCCAAGACTTCAAGAGCAGGTTCCTTTTGAAAGAGGTGATTTTTCGGGGAGTTGCTGGTTTGTGGCGTATGGAATGTAGGCGTGCCTTACATTGACTCCTGAAACCACCCCAATGCGGGTACATATGGAGTGTTTGGGGAAGGAGACTGTTTGAAGGGATTTGAAGGGGAATCACCATTTTCAGTGGCTGTAGTTTGATCTTTTTGGCTGGTGACACCTTTGGTAGGACCCGTGACTAGTGACTAGGAATGCAGTCTATCGTGGGGAGCCAACAAAGATATTGGATGATGTCATTTCCCAGAGGAACTAATTAACAGTAATTAACTATATTACATAATACATAGGTGGACATAATAAATATATACTGTACACCCTAGAATTCCAAAGACTATACTTTTCCATAGTAAAGTAAAGTCAAGGATATTCCTTTTCAGGCACCCTAAAGACCATTCTTTTTGTAGTCTTTGACTCTCAGGGTATACATGTACAATCATGTACAGTATATCTTAACAAAAGACTTTCCAGCAATCACCACAAGATTCCGCAAGCCGCTCTCGACTGCTCTGGGAAGACAACATGTGTAATAAATTGGCAATCCCTCATCCCTCGCGCATTGGTGTTCGACTGTTGCTTTTGCAGGACGTCATTGAAGTGATCGAAGGCGACTCCATGCAAGTCACCCTCCCTGAACAGGTGGCGAAGCTGAGATTCAGAGAATTGGACTTGGCGTTTTTATATACCCTCAACTACTTAGGGTCTGGAATCAGTGCACCCCTAGGTGCTGGGACTGAAAGGTCTAACATGGTTTCTTCTTCATTGTAGACCCTCATATGGGGAAAGCCCAGGTGATCGGTTCTTTCACCATGTTCCACCATTTGTTCTTGGCTCGCCACTAGCTGCCCTAGCCCTAGCCACACCCTTCTTTTTTTGGTGCACCATGTTTCATCATGGTTTCATCATGTGTTTTTCCTTTGGAGGAAGGATGAGGCAATGCCCATGTTCTCCCTCCCTACAGGGCTCCCTCCCTCCCGGTCCACGTCGGTCGGCCTGGTGCAGGTGGACCTGGTGGTTTCGGAGCTCATTGGCAGCATCGCCACGCAGGTGCGCAGACCCACTTCCTTGTGAAGACCGTGACGAAGTGTGAGGGTTTTTGTGGCGCCATTCTGGACCCCAAGCTGAGCTTCAGACGATGAATATATATATATATGAATGAGGCGCTTTTGGAGTGAACAGCTCCGACCTTGAGGAGCTCTGAATCGCTCCGCTTTTCTCGCTTCCGCGTAGCCGCCCGCGACACCCTTTCGCCCCTCAAGGAGGGCGTGGAGCCCATCATCCGCGACGCGCGGCAGCGATTCCTCAAGGAGTCGGAAGGCACCGTGGCATGGGAGCTCGGTCACGGTGGTGTCACGGTGTCGCTCGAAGCTCCGAAGTGATGAAATCCATCACTGCTGGGGTGGTTGGTGAGAGATGTTTTCCGGCTCCAGTCGTGCTTTCCTGAGAAGGTATGACTGGACCCCCCTAAACCCACCCCCAAGCACCTTCTCAGAAGGTACGACTGGAGTGCTAGAGTTTGTTTTCAACCTTTACTTGGGATGAGTGAACCCACTGACTCATAAGGCATTTCTCTAAGTAAGTAGAAGCCACCAACCAGACTGGTGCCCTCGTAACTCACCGTCCGTTGAGAGACATCCAGCCGGCCAAAAGCGAGAGCAGAGTAGTGAGTGCATTAATGTATGGCTCCTAGCATCTCCTCAGGTGCTTCGCTTTCGGGAGCTAGGCCAGGAGCCAGCCACAAACGGATCCAGCCACTCTCGTTCACCACGAGCCGCCGGGCAGCTTCACTCGTCGTCGCCACCGGTCCGGACGTCGGACGTAGACGGTCCACGGATCCATCAATTGGACGCCCCTACGGTCCCCGAGCTCGTCTGCCGCCTGAGAGTCCAAGATCTTGTTTTAAAAAATCTGATTGGTGCGACGAGGACGAGGAATAAGATGGAAGAAGGGAAGGTTCGCCCCCGATAACTAGAGATTCGGATCCAGCCACCACCATTCGCGAGACGCACTGACGCACCAGTCAGAAATTGTTAAAATGCTTGACCTGTAAAAGCATGGTTGTTCGGAATTCGATCCACCTAGATTTCTTCCTAGATTTTAACGGGGGAATGGAATGCACCCCACGAAAACACCTAAGCAGATGCTGGCTCGGGAAAGCATCGGACATGGCAACTTTCAGACAAGCTCAATCAAGCTTACTTACTGCCACGGAAGGGTCAAAGTTGCCTGAAAGAACTCTTGCCCAACCATGCCAAATTGCCAACTTACCTTTTGGTACCTCTTTTGCTGCCTCTTCGTCAAAGGCACCCTTTTGAAGGATTCTAGAGTCCTCAAACCACAACTGCCGCTGTCAAAGGGCCATCCCTCCACAAAGCAGTTGCTTCATACCACAGACCAAATCGCCCTGAAGCCGACACCCTACGTCCGTCTTCGCGCTCAAAAAACAGGTGCGTGTGGCATGATCCCGGCCCGGTGTCAGACGTGCATCGTGCCAGTGCTTTACAAGGGGCGCAGCCCCTTGGCACGCAGGATGGAAAGACTTTCTGCGGACAGAGCGTTTGGAAGGCAAACTTGTTGATTATGGGTACTCTCAGTACCTTGCAGAGACTTGCGTGTTGCTCAGTGAAGGCTTTAACCGTCCTGCATTTGTGTGAAGGACATTAAGACCCCCCATGTTGTTTCTCTTGGTTAGCTTCTTGCAGGTCACCTGGGCTACATGGTTCACTCTATTTGATATGCCCGCCTTGGTGCCGTCCCTCTCCGTCCATCTCGAGGCTTCCTGCAGCGGGTGACGGCACCCTTCGAGGGCGTCCGGAGCCGGGGCAAGCCACAGGCGGGGTCCTCGACACCGCTGAGGATCAAGTCGGCGGACGAGGGGAACTTGGAGTTCTTGTCCGAGCCGCAGGCGGGGCTCCCGCAGGAGTGATGGTTGAGGAGGAGGGAGCAGCTTAGCAAGAGATGATGAGCGAGTCAGGTGAATTCTGGTGGGATGCGAGGGATGTGTTGCGTTGAGGCATTGGGTCAGTAATTATTGGTCTCAGCCTTTTGTCTAGTTATGACCCGAATCTTGGTGGCAATATGTGGTAATTTCCCTAGGGATCCAAGTACCTCCTGAAAAGGTACTTGCACCCTCCTGGCACCCACCCCAGTCCCACCTTCTCAGAGGGTACGACCGGATCCTTAGGGTTAACTATCCGATACATTGATGGTCTGGGAACACTCCACTTGCAGGGCGGTTCATGGATGCTGAAGTGCTGCAGAGATGCGGAAGAGTGACATCGGGAGGAGTGAGTCGCAAGCCCACATGGCCTGAGGGCTTCACCGGTTCTACTTTTGGCCGACAGCGTGCCAGGTCATCGAAGCAGAACATAGGCCTTTGGACTCTGGACGATCATTTTACTCTACCGGGGATTGCTGAGCTTCCATGATTGCTTGAGGGAGGGTGCACGTTTCAATCACTTTCACTTTTGGTTGCTTGCTCTGGCTCCTCGCACCTCCTGAAGCAGGTCTTGGAAGACTTTGATTACTGCGCAGCTGCCAACTCCCCGAAGAAGCTGAGCCTTGGCACCCGAACGACCGGACGTCGCATGCGAACGGCGCACGGCTGATGCTGAGACGTCACCCTGCCAGCTTGGACTATTTGGGCCTACGCCGAGGGCGTTGCCAGCTGGCATGGCAGCCAGAATGAGAATGCAGAAGGTCTGAGGAACTGAATGGGGGGTACTCAGAACCTTCCCAGAACTAGGCCCCCCCAAAAGCGAAGACTTATTAATCGGCATTCATCGATCTGGGCAAGTCATGCCAGGCTCTCCTGATCCGGAACTGGGTTGTTCTCTCCGGTTCACTGGTGTGGACCCACCTGCAGTGTGAAAGCGCTCACAAACGGAGGCATCCCACCGGTTCTTGGAAGGTACACTCCCTGGAATCATCACGGTTACGTGGATGGCATCACCCCTTGGATGACCATAGAATCCTCTACAAACCAGTGGTGAACTCCAATTCCATGATGCTTGCAAGGAGTGTATAGGAATGTGTGTCCTCAGGGTGCTCCCCCGGCGTTTCAGGCCCGGGCGTGACGCGTAACCGGGCACATTGCGTGGACCCAGGACCAGTACCTTGGAGTTCCCCGTGGCGCAGGAGAAAGCGTGGACGATCCGGATCCCAAAGGTGGTTCGTTGGGCGGAAAAGGGAAGGTCTCAACTTGCCCCGAGATCATTAGATATCCATATGGACATATATATATATATATACGTACACGATAACGTGACTAACGTGATACATACACCCAACACCGTTCCACACATCATCCGCACAGAAAACAACAGTCACAGCTTGATGCATGTACATGTTTGGTATTCAAACACATCATTGATTCGCTGAAGGAAACAAACGGTGTAGCTGTAGTTATTGGAAGTGGCTATTTGCTCATGCGAACACAGCACAGGAATCATCACAACCTTTAAGGGTCTTCATCAAGGCTTTGATCAAATGCCGGAAATATCCGGGAATGACATATGGCTAACTTGAACTTATAACCTAAAGGGCATAAGTCCGTAGTGCAATAGTAAATTACTAGTAACCCTGGTTTCAGTCACTTAACCTTGGTAAAGGTTAGAATTGATTCAGCTCGGAAACGGTTGTGTCACTCTAAAGTTGGAGGTTATAGTGAGTGCTTCGGTCTGACTTGGCTAAGTCAAAGTTAAGTCACAATAATGCTAACTTGGACTTAGCTTGGACCTGGTAAGTCCAACCCTTGCCCAACCTAAGTCCAAGCCGAGCCCAAAGTAAGTCTAAGCTAAGTCCTATAGCCAATCTGTCAGAACAGTTTTTGACAATGCCACGTATTCCTTGTAAGCCTGAAGTGCAGGGAAGAACTGTCATACAATTTTCTGACACATATTCCCCCTTTCAAAAGACTCAGCTGGGACTTGGCTTAGGCTTCGCTTAGACCAAGATTGAGACTCGGCTCGGATCGACATATAATGGGAAGCCCAACCTAAGTTCAGGCAAATTGATTTATTCCACATCCAAGCTACGTCTACCTTAGCAAAGTCCAAGCTAAGTCACTACTCGTACTAAAAACGTATAATATGTCTACCTTGAACTTAGCTAGACTTAGCTAGCCGTCGACCCAACACGCATCCCTTTGGGCTGCCATCAGGAACGCTCGGATCAGGTCAACAGCATTCAAAAACCTCTCAAACCCAACATTACAGGATGTTGGAAACTACGGGAAAACTACGTATTTTTTCTACGGGTTTATATGGGTTGTCCACGGGGTTTTAAGGGTTTTCTACGGCTACGGATATTTTTTACGGGTCGCCTACTGGTAACAACCCGTGTTTTTCATCCTGCGGCCTGTTCCAGTACTAACACTTACCGCAACATGAATTGCAAATCTCACAAGCGCCAACCTGTCTCACAAGTCTTCTGGCACTGGGTGACCCCTCCAAGATCCGCGATCCAGAAATTGACATGCCAGCGGAGGTATTTGTCACATTCCACCTGACCTGTATTTCCACCTCATTGGCCGATGCGTTCCTGGAGACGTCTGGTACATCGCTTTATAGTCTTGCTCCAATATCCCTACTTGCCGGGTATATCCTCAACTTTGATGACTTACAACCCCTATGTAATATAGGTTGTAAACCTGCTAACCGTACTAGTAACCCTTGTGTTTAGTCTCTAAACCTTTACAACGATTAGGTTTGATTTAGCTTTGACTCAGCTAACTCTGGATAGTAACAGCTCGGGCCTGACTTAGGTGATTCAAAGTTATTTAACTTCCGGCTAACTTGGACTTGGCTTGGACTTGGTACATCCAACCTATGCCCGGCCTAAGTCCGAGTCCAAACTAAGTCCAATGTAATTCCAATCTAAGTCCTAGAAAATGTTGATGGAAAAACGCTTTTCACAATGACATATTTTTTTAAGCCTGAAGTGCAGGGGAAACCCTGCCAGTGAGTTTTCTGACACACATGGCCTTTACACTGAAGTGACAAGTACAGTCAAAAAATTGTGTTGCACTTTTCCCCTTCACCATTTAGCAACAAAAGCAGTCGGAAGACTCTTTTCGGAGTTAGCTTAGACTTAAGGTGTGCTTGGCTAGCGGCTAGGACTTAGGAAGCCCAAACTCAGTTGAAGCAAAGTCTAATCTAAATCCAAGCTAAATCTACCTTAGCTAAGTCCAAGCTAAGTCACAAATAAGTAACTACATATTTGTTCCCTCAGACCTAGCTAGACTTAGCTAGCCGTCGACGCGGAACTTAGTTCTGCAGTGCAGGGTGAAAGGCACATGTCCAATTGATCAGCCGCTACAATTCATGGTTGCTTTCAGCAGCACAACATCCTGAAGTCTCAAAAATTTGGTTTTTGATATCCCCCTCTCAAAAAAGAGGGTTGCATTGTTATGTGTAAAACCAGGTTTTTAACAAAAATCATTTGTTTTGCACCAGCGGTGGTGCCCATGGAAGAAGCTAAAAGACACAGCGACTAACGTGCCACTTGATGCCTCCGGTTGGAGAACTGCATGATAGGGGGGCCGTACTGAGTGGATAAAGTTAATGGGGTCAGTGCCTGGACTTTATCTGTGTGCCAGCCTGCCAGCAACCTATCCAATGGGGTCTATCCTCAAAAACATCCACCCAAGTAAGGAGTTGATATTTTTTGGGGGTGGATGAAATGGGGTCAATGCATCAAAAATATCCAGAATTAACGCTCCAATTTTATCAACTCGGTAGTGGGAGTAAAAAAGGAAAGGAAAGATAGAACATCGCTCGTTGGACGTTCGTTAGATTTCCGCTCGTTAGGTTTTCCGAGCTCCATGACCTGGATTAACGCACTACATTTCCTAGAATTTTATCCACCCGGGAGTAGAAAAGGAAAGAACAGATAGAAAAGAGATAGGTTAGAGATGTTAGAGAGAAGAATGAAAGAAACCAGATTGAACAGCAAAGAAAATCAAGAAAGCAAAAGAGAGAAGGGAGAAGGACGAAACATGATCGCAGAAGAAATGGCGATTCTTCTTGGATCCTGTTGAGCCTAGCTGAAACTTGCATGTCCGTTTTTTCATTTGGCATGTCGCTCGTTGCCTGGGGTTACCTGTGCCCTTGGGGGTGGGAACCTCTGTGGCGAAATTTGTCCAGGTGTCATTCATGTTCCCACCAGGCGCTTTGAAAGAAAAAGAAATTTTTCATAATCGTAGCAACAGGCGCTTTCGAAAGAAAAGACCAGGTGTTCTTCTCATAGATTGTCACTATTCTCGTAGCAACAAACCTCAGACCGTGGATTTGTTTCCACAATGTCTCCTGGAGGAAGTCCATCAGGATGAAACGGCTTTTCCTGCCACAGTTGAGGAAGCAAACTTACCCGAAAATGTT